GACCTTCTGTCTGCTGTGCAGTGGGATGCAGTGGTCCCCACCTTGGAGCCCCCCCAGCTCTGAGCTCCTGGGTCTCTGGGGAGAGCCTGAGCTCCTGGTGCGGGGAGCACAGTACCGATGTGGCTGTCAAGAGGAGGCCAAGCCTGTCAGATTTTAATTAAACAATTATCTTCCTGAAATTGGCATTTTCTATCAGTCCTGGCTGCACGAGCTGAATCCTAACGAGACTTGGGAGGGGGGTGCGGGGGGTGAACAAGAGCCTTTTGGGGAGCCCTTGGGGGGGGGGGGGGGCACGTGGGAGGAGCGGGGGCTGCAGCGGGCTCTGGCCGTGGCCTCCTGATGCCCTTGGACCCAACTTGGGTGGTGGGGTTGCACCCGGAGCATCACCTCTAGGTACATGTGCGGGTGCAGGGAGGGTTTCTGCCTCCGCCCCGCTACGGATGTGCTGCATCCCACCAGGTGCCACGGCAGTGTTTTGGGGGAAAGAGGCTGTGTTACAGAATTATATCTGCACCATGCCTGGCGTAATGGGGTCCTGGGAAAAGCCCCCCCACAGCCCCGTGGGGCACCAGTAACTCCCCATTTGGCTGATGGGGAGCACTGGGGCTGGCTGAGCACGTACTGGTTTGCAGCACTGCGCTGGGCCTTTGCTCTGGCCCTGTGTTCCCCATCGATGCCTGGGGGAAAGGATGGCAAAGTCCATCTCCCCGCTCCCTCCTGTGGCATCGCTCTGCTGGGCAGTGGGATGCAGTGGTCCCCACCTTGGAGCCCCCCCCAGCTCTGAGCTCCTGGGTCTCTGGGGAGAGCCTGAGCTCCTGGTGCGGGGAGCACAGTACCGATGTGGCTGTCAAGAGGAGGCCAAGCCTGTCAGATTTTAATTAAACAATTATCTTCCTGAAATTGGCATTTTCTATCAGTCCTGGCTGCACGAGCTGAATCCTAACGAGACTTGGGAGGGGGGTGCGGGGGGTGAACAAGAGCCTTTTGGGGAGCCCTTGGGGGAGAGGGGGGGCACGTGGGAGGAGCGGGGGCTGCAGCGGGCTCTGGCCGTGGGCTCCTGGTTTTTTTTGGTGGGGTTGCACCCGGAGCATCACCTCTAGGTACATGTGCGGGTGCAGGGAGGGTTTCTGCCTCCGCCCCGCTATGGATGTGCTGCATCCCACCAGGTGCCACGGCAGTGTTTTGGGGGAAAGAGGCTGTGTTACAGAATTATATCTGCACCATGCCTGGCGTAATGGGGTCCTGGGAAAAGCCCCCCCACAGCATCGCAGCCGTGAAAGCAGTGGTGAGACCGAGCGCTGGTGCTGCTGAGCGAAGGGAGGTTTGTCTCCCCCAGATGGGTGCCAGGCAGCACCCATCACCCAGCCTGTGCCACCAAGATGGGCAGTTTTGCTTTGTGGAGGACTCTGCCCCGGTTAACTGAGTGCCCATCAGCAATTTGGAGGCAGGATCAGTGCCTGTAGTCGCGTCAGCCCTGATTAGTGTGCACATCTGTAATTAGATGAAGCAGCTGTGATTTCCAGCCCTGCTGAGATCTCAGGTGGGATATTTATGGCAGGGAGATGCTTGGAGGGATCTTCTCAGCAGACTGAGCCTTTGAGCTTGGGTTTGGCAGGTACTTCAAAAGGAGGTAGCTATTTTGGAGGTGCAGAGCTCAGAAAATAGAAGCAGCAGTGTTTTCTGGAAGAATTATATTTGGGGTGTTTTTGCTTGTAATCCTTCTTTTGCATGGAGCTCTGCAGAGATGCATGGGGGAAAGGGGGGGTCCCAGGACCAGCCCCTTCCACGCACCCATGTCCTGTGGCTCATGTACTGTCTCTCTAGAAAAATAAGGGAGTGTGGAAAAACCTGTCTTCCAAGGGCAGAGAGTTCCTTATAAAAATAATTTGTTTTGGAGGGAAGGGGTGCGTCAGTGACGCAGCCCTCAAGGCAATGCTCTTCCCATGGGGAAAATCACCACTGACCCCTGGGGAATGGCCACGCACGGCCCCGACGGAGGGCAGCGAGCCCGGCTGCCTGCTTCTGCCTGCTCGCCCTGGACCCTGTGCTGCCACCATACAGGCGACGTGCTCGTTTGGGGGATGCTGCTGTGCAAAGAGGGGATGTCCCAGGCTAGGACCCAAGGGTGACAGCTCGGGACAGCGAGATGCGGTGTTGGGAAGTGAGCGCAGGCAGAAGTCTCCTGAAGACCAGCAGCGTTTTGTAACCCACGCTAAAAATACACCCGTGGTTTAAATGCTGCCAGCTCTGTATAAATAGCAGGTATCAGCGTGGGGGTGCAGCGACAGTGCCGGCATCAACGTGGGCATCAAGGTTTGCTCCATCCTGGCATGCAGGCGGCTGTTCCCTCCCTGTGCCGGCGGCACCGAGCCTTGGAGGCTGGGAGAGACGCTGGCTTCCACCCCATCACAGCTCTCTGCGCTGGGCAGCAAATCCTCAGAGAAGTGGCAGCGGGAAAAGAGAGAGATTTCTTTTTTTTCCCTGTATTGGGCACAGCTGGTGCCAGCCCTGGGGGCTTTGGTGGGTCATAGTGCCGGGCAGCGAAGCCTGGACCTTCCTCTTGGAGCAGCCCCCCTTGCCCGCAGCTGCGGGGTGTTTCTTTGGCTGACACAGTTCATACTGCACTTGGAAGTGACCCATTGCATGAAAACTGATTTTATTTTATAACTTACCAAAAAGGAAGTGAGATTAAAATGGAATAGGGCGACTTCACTTTCACCGATACATGGGCTGAACCCAAATTAATCCTTCAGCCTCTTTCTCTAGCGCTTTATAGCTTTTGAAGCTTTTCCAGTCCCGTCTTTCTGCCCTGCTTGCTTTGGGGGGCAGACCCGAGCCGTGGGCTCCAGTGGGTGGGGAGAGCCATTGCTCAGGGCGCTGCTGTCCCAGGCCAGCGGGCCCAGGGGAGGGCAAGGCTGTCCCCGCTTGCTGCCTGCACTCTGCTCTTCCCCCTTCACAGGTGGACCCTTACCTGCCTTACGAGTACACCTGCGAGGGGATGCTGGAGCGGATCCACGCCTACATTCAGCACCAGGTTGGGGAGCATCCCTGTTCTCCCTGGGGGAGCATCCCTGTTGTCCTGGGGAACAATCCCTCTCCTTCCTGAGGGAGCATTCCTGTTGTTCTCCCAGGGAATCATCCCTGTTCTCCTGGGGAACCATCCCTGTTCTCCCATGGGTCCGTTCCTGTTGCCCTGGGCAAGGGAAACCGTTGACCAAGTGCAGTTCCCCAGCAATGGATCCCAGGTCCCAGCTAGCGGTCTAATCGCAGAGAGCACCACCAGATGGGGGCTGGGGGAGTTTTTTCATGACCCAAAGATGCTGGGGGGCTGGTGGAGGGTGGCTGGGGGTCCTGGGGCTGGGTCCAGGCCTTTTTGCTGCAGAGAATAAGGCAACACTGGGAGAAGAAGAGGTGGCTGGTGCCTTCATCTCCCGCAGCAGGAGATGCCATCCATGTGTGCAGGTGACCTCAACCTGAGGAGCAAACCAGCAGCCCAAGCGTTCTCCTGTCCCACCAGCAGCCTTCCCCATTCCCAACATCTCGCCCTGTCCCTCCAGGCACTGACCTATTGTTTTCTCTACCAATAGGATTTCTGCACCACGTTGTCTCCTCCTCTGCCTCCCAAGGCCAAGAGCCCTGCTATGCAAAGCCCTCCGAGCCCGCTGGCCCTGTCCCCCAATGCCACTCATCTGGTGTGGTCCCCCAGCGCCAGCCGGGACCCCCACGCCTGGCCACCGGTGGACTCATTGCAGGTGTGGGTGTCGGAGACACAGCATGCCTGCACCGAGACGTGCCGGCAGCGCGGGCTGGTCTGCGAGCCCACCTTCTTCAGGTTCCTCAACAAGAAGGAGGTGTTTCTCCAGTGAGTTGCGCTCTTCTCAGCGAGGTGGTGGTGGGGGCCATCAGCCAGACAGTGCTCCCCCTGCTCCCCCCATCCCCAGCACCCATTTTCCTTGTGTCATCCCTCCTGAAATCCCATCGAGATACCTTCATGCCCAGGCGATGGAGGCAGGGCACTGCCTGCAAAGTGGCCCCTTGCTTACACGCGTTGGCCTTGACCAGCATCACGCTTTGGGAGGCAGCGCTTGCCTTTCCGGGCTTGTTTCTGCCTCTCTGCGACCCTGTTCCTGCCTCTCTATCACCCCGTTCCTCTCCACCTCCTCCATGCTCTCTCCCTTTCTCTCTTTTTTAATGTCTTTCTCTATAAAACTGTATTTTGAACACACAGCAGTGAAGTTTTAATAGAGCATAAATCTGCCACTGGGCTCTGTGCTGCTCTGTGGGCAATTAAAATGCGAACATTACCATTGCTGTCACGCGGGTCAGGCAGGCGCTGAGAGTCCCACTGACATTTTTATATGATAAATTAGAGCTCGGGCTTGGATTTTGCTCTCTCCTCTCTGTGCCCCCCTCCAGACCTTAAAACAAGCTGGCTCGGGGGTTCACCGGTCGAGAGGGGTTGGTGGGAGGGTAATGCTGGCGATGCCTCTCCGTCTGCAGACACAGGCGTGGGTGGGAGGAGAGGGATGCTGAGCAACACACCGGGCATTTCTGCTGCTCCTTGGGACATTTGCTGATGCCCACCCTGGTTTTGCTGGCACATCCCAGCTAGCAGGGGACACCTGGGCATCCATTGAACTTGTGTGCCCTTCCAGGGGACATTTGCTGCCGTGGGAGGTACCCACAGACCTCTTGGTCAGCAGGGAGATATAGAAGATTTGGGTGGATTTTTGTGTGTGATTTCCCGAGCTGTCCATGGCCCATGCAAGGGTTGGGGTGGTCTCTGGGCTGCAGGGTTGAGTTGCAAGGGCCACCCCTTCCCGCATGATGCGTTGGGCTGGTGACAAGCATTCACGTCTAGCAGAAGGGTACCAAACATAGCTGGCACAACCAGCAAAGATCTGGCTCAACACTTAGAAGGAACCTCCCCAGGAAGGATAGAAATCCCTTCAGCGAAACCCCAGGCAGCCTCCCCACCTGAACTGACCCACCTTTGGCTTTGTTCCCAGGCTCAGCATCACCTGCGACAGCACCGAGTATGAGATGAACCATCTCTACCCGGCGGTGGCTGAGAACGTCCACGAGTGCTACCTCCAGAAGGAGCCACTGCTCTTCAGCTGCGCGGGCTACAACACCAAGTACCGGCGCCTCTGCCCCTGCCGTGACTACCGCAAAGGACAAGTGGCTCTGTGCCGGGACT